CTTCCTAGAGGAGTAGAAATCGGGGAGAAGAAACAAAATTCAGTACCAACTATCAAAACAAATGAGTGATTCATCTTAAGAAAACACACCAGAAAAAGATGCATCAATGATCAATACAAACAATCAACCAGAGAGTAAGTAGGGCTGAAAATTTGCCTGTCCCGTCCCTGTCCCGTCCCGTCCCGTCCCTGTCCCGTCCCTGACCCTGTCTGTCCCGTCCCTAAAGGGACAGCTTACATAATCGACCCGTCCCGTCCCTGTTCTCTTCTTGACCCTGTCTGACCCTTTAGGGTCGGGACGGGTCGGGACGGGACGGGTCAGCGGGTCGACCCTCTCCGACACAAAATTAAATACCAAATTATAAAAAAAACAGAAAATTAATTAATTAATTCATATAATAATTTATTTATGAAATTATTTCAGAAAATTAATCAATTACGAAATTAATTTCAAAAAATAATTTTTTTACGAATTTCATTTCAGATAATTATTTATTCATCAAATTAATTCCAAAAAATTAATTAATCACCAAAATAATTCCAAAAATTTAATTAATCACCAACATAATTCCAAAATATTAATCAATTGTCAAAATAATTCCAGAAAATTATTTATTTACCCAATTTATTCTAGAAAATCATTTATTTATCAAATTAATTCCAGAAAATTAATTAATTAATTAGTTAAATAATTTATTTATGAAATTATTTCAGAAAATTAATCAATTACGAAATTAATTTCAAAAATCATTTTATTTACGAATCTCTGTTCATAAAATTATCTATTCATCAAATTAATTCCAAAAAATTAATTAACCACCAAAATATTCCAAAAATTTAATCAATCACCAACATATTTCCAAAATATTATTCAATTGTCAAAATAATTCCAGAAAATTATTTATTTACCCAATTAATCCCAGAAAATTAATCAATTGCCAAAATAATTTCAGAAAATTATTTATTTACCAAATTATTTACCAAACTCCCATAATATATGTGCTTGATGAAAGGATGAAATGACATCAATTATTAAATAATCATCAATGACATCATTGTTCGATAATAATCAAGTACATCATACTCATGATCACACAATACATCATTGTTCGATAATAATCAAGTACATCATACTCATGATCACACAATACATCATTGTTCGATAATAATCAAGTACATCATACTCATGATCACACAAGACATCATTGTTCGATAATAATCAAGTACACCATTCTTCAATCATCGTCAACTAAATCACTCATGATAGTACAATCATCCAAGCAAGACTCTTTCAACTCTGCAAAATTAACAACACATCAAATAAATTAATAATGATCTAAATAAAATAGTGAATGTTAAAAACAAATTACTTTTCATACCTTGTTCAAGTTCTTCGATTTCTTCAAAATTCTCTTCCATGTCGATTTTAATGAATCAAATATTAATATCCTATCATTTGTTTAATTCTTGCCCTCTCCAAGACTTTGCTAGCTATTCTAAGTATAAATACAGTACAGATGCAAGCTGCTCTTTGGTCAACTTCAAAGCATAAATAGTCATTAAAATGCAACTGATCCCTCCTTTATCAACTTCAACATCAAAGCATTATTTATAAACAGAAGCCACTACTGCTCTGGCATGATGCATTATTTATAAACAGTGTCATCTCCTCTCTTTCAATTTCTGTGTTGTGTAAGTCAAGAGATAGATTTGGCCAATACCACACATATTCCCTCTAAATTCCAAAGTTTGATACTGCAGTAGTATGTACACCACAGCAACACCACAGCAGCAAAAGTGTCTACTTAGTTACCTCGTTAATGAAGGGCAACTAGATTCTCTTGACAGTGGTGGCTGCGGCTTCACTTGCCTTTGCTGTTAAAGTGCCTTAGAAGTGGGCAGCAGAAGCCACAGCTCTCTTAGTTTCTGTTTTTCATAGGAACTAAAGAGAAGCTATCATCTTATCTACCACTCTAAACGTCTCTCTAATTGGTGCTGGTTTTGCTAAAGCCAAGTTGCTTACTTGTTAACCTCTGGCGTTGTTGTGTTCCCTTAACACAGTAATGAGATTTCATCTAGTCCCTTAACACAGCCAGCTGAATCATTGCATCGACTCAACATTGATATGGATATGATACTACCTACTGTACTTAAACCATGAGGACAGTAATGGTTAACAAGATAACAACAATACCCACAACCCAAATTGACCATAGCTGACGACCTGGTTTGTCCACGAAAACACCCAGAAGACCAATCCTAGACCACATACATATATGGGTAACCAAAATACCAAACTCAGACCACACATATATGAGCAAATCCACAAAAATCAAAGCAGTAAGAGTAGCCAGAGACAACCAATCTTGGGGCTGAAACAGAGACAATGAAAGAAGGAAACCGAAGAAACATACCTGTAATAGATGCAGATTTTCGACCAACAACTTCTTCTCCAAGGTCCTGGTGGCGACGAGGTATCGTGAAGGGATTCTCCAACCGCGCCGCCGACGAGGAAGCACAACAACTAGGCTGGACGCCCGGATGGAAGTCGCCGAGAATCGGTGGAGATTTTAGGCTGTAGGATTCCCTTTCAGTCGATGAGAAGAATGGAGAAGAGGTATAGTGAAGCGGTGAAGGGATTCTCCAACCGCGCCGCCGACGAGGAAGCGCGACGATTGGGCTGGACGCCCGGATGGAAGTCGTCGAGAATTGATTGAGATTTTAGGGTGTAGGTTTTCTTTCAGGGCGAGAAGAATGAAGAAGGAGAAGACCCGTCCCGATTAATTTCTAGTTTCTACGGGTCTGTTTTCCGGGTCACAGGGTCAGGTGGGTTTTTTAGGGTCTGAGTGTAGTTTGACCCGTCCCTTATAGGGTCAAGAGGAAGACCCGTCCCAAACTTGTCCCTCTGTGCAAATTGACCCGGCCCGACCCTTCGGGACGGGACGGGACGGGACGGGTCGCCGGGTTTTAAGGGTCAGAATTTCAGCCCTAAGAGTAAGTACTGAAAAATGTGGTCGCCGCTTACTAAAAGTTGCATCCGCTTATTTTACGCTATGCTTGACAACTAGGGATGCAAATTCGAGGCGGTGCAAGTTGAGAGGTAAATTACAAAAGGGTGTAAATTGGTGGCGTTGCAAGTGAAAGGGTAAATTGTTGTTTGGATGAAAAAGTAGGGGTGCAAGTAAACTCAAAAGTAAGTAAATTATATTATTATAAAATGAATATATCAAATTTATAAAAGAATATCACAAAAAAATAAAATAAAATAAAATAATAAATAGTAATAAAATAGTAATACACAAATAATAATTAATTATAACAAATGCAATATCATTGATCGAGGGGCCTCGAAGCTCGAAACTCAACTCGTAACTGGTCATCCTACTGGGTTCTCGTGCTTAATTTAGCCACAGCTGGTCATCCTATATGGTTATCATGTCCACTTTAACTTTAAATTTGATTAGGTCAAATTTACGTAAACCCGTTCGAATATGTAAGTTTTAGCTATTTAATCATGTAAACATAGTTAAACACGTTCAAAGATGTAAGTTTTAACTATCTAATCATGTAAATTGAGTTAACTAAATCGGTGTGAAATTGATATATCAAATCAGGTTAGAATATGTAAGTTAAACACTTTTTCATTTTAATTTTTAGCGCAATTTTGAGTAAACCAAGAGATCTTGATTTGACTTCACAAACTTTGACAAACTTACTCACAGGAGTCAAACGTGAATACCGGACAACATCTACATTAATAATAACATAATGATAAAAAATTATAATAATTATTATGTATCTATTATAACTAATTTATTATTATAATTATTATAATTATAATTGTTACTTATTATAGTTTATCCATTAAATAATTATTAAACATAATAATAAAATAAAGATCAACAAATTTTTTACTTTAACCATTTCTTATCCTTCCTCCCTCACTTTATCTCTCCTTTTGCACCCCAAATTGGGGGTTTAGTGGAATAGTAGATCTATCCCGCATTAACCCCCTCACTACTATTGCAAATAGGGATGGCAATTTACCCACCCATGGGTATTTTTGCCCAAACCCAATTATATCCATTTTATATGGGTTGGGTATGGATTTATTCTATAGGGATTTGGATAATGTTTGGGTAGGTGGAGTTGGGTTTGGATTTTATTTTTGGGTATGGATTGGGCTTGGGTACCCATCTCCTTGGACCCACCTGTATATGTTTTTTTTATTAGGTATTAAAATGTAAAGCAAAATTTTTAAAGTACTAAAATATAATTTTCCACATATGATGTTGAACCTATTTGTATCTTCTTAAAAACTTCAGGTACTAAAATGTAACTTTGGCTGTCAACAACCATCGTGTTCCAGCTGCTTCGCCGGTGCCGAACGCCGGTGCCGAATGCTTCCGACTGACAGGCGAGGATGATGAATGATGATGCCGGACGCCGGTGCTCTCCGGGAAAAGCTGGTGGGTGGTGGCGATTTCACCATCGAGCTCGCTACCCAAATCCATCATCGCCGTGCAGTAGAGCATGTCGACGACGAACCCGGCGAGTCGTGCGACGTCAGATCCGACTAATTCCTTGATGTGGCGCTTCTAGCCCTCGAGGATGGTGGGCAGGAATCAGGCTGGATCGGTATCCGGCGGCGGTTTCACGACGGGGAGGATGACGAATCGGACTCGAGAGTCGGCGGCGCCGGCGGCGGTGAGATTGGTGTTGTTGTCGGATGTCACTACGAGGAACTTTGCGTCTGGGATTAAATGACTGTACAACACCCAATGCCACCCACTGCGGCTTATTGCCCTCTCCACTGCCACTATCTCCATCTGGAGAAGTATTTACAGTTTCCAGGGATTAAGCAGGGGAGGTTTAAGGGACCGGAAAACAGGGGAAGAGCAGAGGACCTGGTTTTTTGTTCTTTGCTTTGATGGGTGATTAAGCAGGGGAGGTTTAAGGGGGTAGGGGTTTGGTAGTAGGGCTTCTTTCCTTATGGCCTCAATGACTACCTCCCCACTATCTTCAAGGCAAATTACCCTCCTTATGGCAGAGACTTCGTCAACCACCAGCCTACTGGCAGGTTCTGCAATGGCAAATTGGCCACTGATATCACTGATAAATATATATATGCATATCTCCTTTACTAGGTTCATACTTCATATGTACACTGTTGCCAGTTTTAGACCCCTCAATTTGATAATTCATTGTTTTAATCTCCTCCTAAAATTGACAGCTGACACTCTGGGATTCAAGACTTACCCACCAGCATATCTGAGCCCTGATGCAATGAGGAACAACCTTCTAATTGGAGCCAACTTCGCCTCTGTTGGTTCTGGTTTTGATGACAAAGCTGCTGCTCTTAATGTAAATTCTGGATCACACAGAGACCATCAAATTACTCTTTTTACTGCATTTCTGCTTAATGTAAGTTTGTGGTTTCTCTTTTCTCTGTGGTGGGTTGCAACATGCAATTACTCTGTCTCAGCAGCTGGAGCTGTTCAAGGAGTACAAGGGCAAGCTAGCCAAAGTTGCAGGAGCCAACAGAAAGTTCCCAGCTGCTATGTCGAGCTCTTTTGGGATACCTTGTCTTTTAGGTTCCAATGGTGAAAGAACAAAAAGAAAGAAGACAGAAGACATCAAAATTTAAAATTATTTGGGATATTTGCAGATCATGGAGCTCAGCCTGAGACCATATAGCCTAGCACACTGGACTGCATAAATTTACTCTATACCATTGACTGCAATATCGAACTTTCAGTTTGTCTCGCTTCATTATAATAAAACAAACATTCATCAAAAGAGAACAAAACTTTTACAGCCTCATTCAACATCATAGAAAGCTTCATAATAATTCCACCATGATCATCAATACATGTTCACCAACAGCAACACCACTAGTAGTAGGCTAGTAGCTTCCTCTGTCCTGATCCCTACCCTTCCAACAACAACAACAACAATAGCAACCCAGTCACCAATTTCCCCTTTTTGTTGCCCACAGATCACCCTTACTATCCCAACAACCATCATCTTCAGGAAGGAATCCCAGCTGAAAACTACAACAAGTACCCCACAAGTAAACCACAATATCCATCCATGCCACTCACGTCACTGATAACCAACAACATACAAACTCCCAGATTCTTTCTCGGTCCTCATATTCCATAACTTGTTCATCATCACCGCCATTATTCTCACAGAATATGGTTTGAGTCGAACCATCAACGTCTGAAGAGAAGATGGCCACACCTGCAAAATGACAGCCAACATAACCCATTAAGTCAACAAAGCAGCATAATATGTGGAAGCCACATCATTACATGAAACAGTGATGATACGTAGAGTTCCAACGAATCTTACAATCAAGCACCAACTCTCTCGAACAATCAATATTTGTAAGCCTGCCTAACACATCATTGAACTTTTGTCTTCTCTTAACAGATGAAGTCCAATACACAACACTATCACGAATTCTCCCAATGCATTCCTCAATGACAGACAACCCATCTTGCACGATTAGGTTGAGAATGTGAGCAGCACATCGCATATGAAATATAGAACCATTTAGCAACAACGTATCTTCTTGCAATTTTCCTAAAAGAGCTTTAATCATAGCATTATTAGTACTGCAATTATCCACGGTCTCTGTTGAAATTTTTCTCTCAATGTTCCATTCCGTCATAGAACTCAATAATACAGCACATAGAACATCCTTGGTATGTGGAGAAGGAACGTGGATAAAGCTCAAAATCTTACTATGAAGGACCCAAGCATCATCAATAAAGTGACCAGTTACTACCATGAATCCTCTTTTCCTGTTATTCGAAGTCCACATATCAGTGGTAATCGCCACCCTACTGCTGACTTTTTCTAACTCATGCATTATATTCATCTTTGCCTTTTTGAATATCTTTAAAATATCACTCTTGATTGTATTTCTACAAACCATTTGAAACAACGGTTGAAGAGAATACACAAACCTCCTAAGCCCAACATAATCGACAACCGATAGAAGAAATTCATGAAGAACAATCATATAAGCAAGCTCCCTTCTACTAGTTTCTTGGTCAAAAACAACCGGACTCGAACTTCCAGTACCAATTTTCCTTTTCTTACTACCCAAAAGTCCACCCACCATGACTGGATCAGCATTTTTTACTGAACATTTAACCAAATGATTGCGCAAATGAGAAGTTCCAGAGTTGGATTCAGCAGCAAGCTTTCTATGGCAATATTTGCATTCAGCTTTTCTCAACCCACTAATTACAACTCAATCATAATCCTTCCACACATCAGACCACTGCTTCTCAGAAGACCATACCATACGACTAGAAGACACACTAGGCTGTCCATGATTACTACTCTCATGATTCATAGATAGACTATCATCATTAACTTCTGAATAGGGATGGCAATGGGTCGGGTCGGGGACGGATAGTGCATATCCGTTACCCTACCCAAAGTAGTTTGGGTTTTACCCATGTCCATACCCACATGTGAAACGGGTAGAAAATCAAAACCACGCCCATACCCGTTCGGGTTTCGGATATCCACGGTTATCCATGGGTAATAATTTCTCTTCATAACTCCAACCAATATGTTAACATTCATATGTATTCTCACATTACGTAAGAGGAAAAGTACAACAATACTTCACGAGAATGAAGTAAATTAATTAAAACAACACAATTTCATGAAAATATTATATTTATATGATAAATATAAAATATGTTAGAGAAAAATAATGATTATTTCTAGACAAAATACATGTGCATGTGTATAATCGGGCGGGTTCGGGTTGGATAGTGTGAAACCCATGCCCACCCATTACCCGCAATATTTGGGTTCGGGTTTTACCCATACCCACTAAATGTCCTTCGGGTTCGGATTTTACCCTACCCGATTAGGCCGGATTCGGGCGGATATCCACGGTTACGGATATTTTTGCCATCCCTACTTCTGAAGCCATGTTTCCCTAGAAAAATCAAGCAAGCAACAAACAATCATTCAAACTAGCTGCAACAACACAATTATTCAACCAAATTAGAATTAAACTAAGTTCACAAGCAGCAAACTGTCAAAGCAGTAGTCAAATTGAATAAACTAAGTTCACAAGTAGGAAACATAAATCTAGAGAATAGTACACCTAATATAGTAACTAACTTGGCTAATTTAACTTTAGTCTCCAGGGCGTAGAACTGAAGAAATGACAGAACAAATCGACATATTTGTTAAAAGTTATACTATGTGAACTTATTTGTTAAAACGGCATTGTATGGTGATTGAAACCAGTCAAACCACCATCAATAACCCTTCAAAAATGGAAAGCAGAGGCAGCTTGGCCTGCAGTAGTGGCATCGAGACTAGCTACAGAAGTCCTCAGAGAGAAATATACCCCTCCATTACCAAGCAAAACAGACGTTGGACACGAAGATTCGTTATCACAGAAGTCCTCAGAGAGAAATATACCCCTCCATTACCAATCACAGTTCATACCCAATTCACAACTAAGACCCATTCAGAAACCCTATCCCCTGAATAAATCCTCTGAACAGAATTCATAAGACCCAGTTCAAAAACATAGGGTAAGAATCGTAAGATGAACAATACCTGGAGCCTGGCGGAGTGGGCTTCTCGTGGTCTCGAGATTGAAAGGGAGAGAATGAGCAGGTGATTCGCGAAGTTGTTGGCGATCTTGTGAGGGTAGGCGACCAAACCCTCTTGTGAGGGTAGGCGACCAATCCCACCGATTGACAAAAGAGAAAACGGGTGCTCCGAGATCGGGAGGGAGAGGAAGAACCGGCGAATCGCGAAACCGCCGGCGGTGTTGAGGGGGTGGGCGACTAGGCAAAGCGACCAGATGCCTAGACCCTCTTGTTCTTCGAAATCCGACCGATCGAGAGGGATAGGAGGAGCTGGCGTATGGCGAGTCGCGAAGCCGTCGGCGGTATTGAGGAAGCCAACGATGGTTGCTCCCCGGAATCCAATCGATCTGAGAAGTGAGAAGGGTCGAAGAGAAAACTGGTGGTCTGACGTCTGGAGATCGAGAGTGATAGGATAGGAAGAGCTGACCGAGTGACCGTGGGCGATGTTTTTTTTCTTTTCGTTTAATTACTTGGGTTTGGGTTTTTTAACCCAAATCCATGGGTAAAACCCAACTGGACCCAACATTATGGGTATGGGTGTTGACCCATTAGACTTTACCCATTTAAAGTTGACTTGGATTTCAGACCTGACCCACATGGGTTGGATACTTAAAACCCAATGGGCATGGGTAATTCTGCCATCCCTAATTGCAAACTATCCAAATGATTGCAAATGCATAAATTTGCTCCCTCTATTTGCACCTCTAAACAAACATAGGGTTTTTTGGTTTTGGTGATAGATAAATAGATGCATTGCTATCAATGCATGCATAATGATATACATGTATATAAGAAAATTGATGTATTGTAGTTTACATTGTTTGGTTTTCGTGATAGTTTTTATAGTATTTAAATAAGATATATTACTTTTTGGATGAAATGTCACTTTTACCCTTTGTCAGGCCCGGCCCAGGCCCTGTGCTAGTCTGACCCACAGCACAGGGCCTCCAAAATTTTGGGGCCTCATCACAATCAGACTCATACACATAATATATATACATAAAATAATTGGATAGTTTGCAGAGCGTTGGCCCAAAAAGAAAAATTGAACAGTCTTGGGAGGAGGAGACGATGTGGCTTGGTTCTTTCGCCTAGATTTTACTAGCTTTTGTTGTGGACCGGACTTTCATTAAAGCACAAATAGTTAGAATAAACAAAAGGATCAATTGGTAGTTAGCCCAAATAGGAACCAAAGCCAACACACTCTAGTTTAGACTCAACTCAATGTATATATTATAAAGGGTTAATACCTTAGTTTGGGCCGAACTATACATACTTTCTACTTTGGCCCGTGGTATTGAAAATTGCTACAATGGCCTGAACTATGTAGCATACTTCCTCATTTGGTCTGGAGGCGGGTTTGACGGTCAAATTAAATGGTCAAACCTGTTGACCGTTAGTCAATGTACACCTCACCTGCTACGTCAGCTTTGAGGACATTTTTTTTAATTTTTTATTCTTTCATTTAATAAAATTAATAATTCTTATTACCAAAAAAAATTAATAACTCTACAAAATTAATTAAAAGGACGAAGAAAAAAAATGAAAAAAACCCAACAACCACCATTTATACTCTCCCCCTCTCACCAAAAATCGGGAAAAAAGAATCCATATTCCTTCTCCAAAACCAATT